CCCCACCCTCATTCGTCCCACCCTGGGCCCTTGAGCAAGGCCCTTAACCTTCACCATCTGCTCCTCCGGGTGTCCTAGATAGCAGCTCTCTGCTCCACACGGAGGGCTGTGGTAGCTCGGTGTCTGTGGTTGCGTCAGGAAGAGTATCCAGCGTAAAAATAACTGCCAAGTCTTTGTGCGACTTAGTTTGCTGTGGCGACCCCTAACGCAGGGAGCAGCCGAAAGAAGAAGAAGTTGTTGTTTACTATCTCTCTTTAGGACCTTGTAAATATTACAATTACTTTTTCACTTTTTGGTACTATGTTTTTGTACCCTTATTCCATGCTTTACTATTTCTTGTTTGTTTGTTCTTTGTTTTTTTTAGTGAGTCAAATCGGTTCTTCTCATCCAGAGCATTTCATTGTATGTTAACCTTGTGCTAACCTGCATATGACAAATAAACACAACTTGAACTTGATCCAACCACAGACCACCGAGTCACCATAACCCTCTGTGTGATGCAGGGTGGGGGGGTTTAAGGGCAATGAATTGGTCAAATGAGGGTGGAGGCAGATGTGGGTGCTTCACCTTTTCTGCCCAAAATTTGATGTTATGGTCAGCAAGAGGAGTTGAACCGACAACCTTCCAATCCCTGAGTTCGCTTCTCTAAACTTCTGTCAGCACAAATTGCAAAGGCAGCCACAAGCTGCAGATCCTTTTTTGCAGCCTGAGGGACTTCCTGTAGAACTATCCAAATATTTCCGCCAGAATAATGATTTAATGTGGAACTGATAGCAAGTCATGCCAAGTGAATTCAAACTTTATTTATAAAGCTGATTAACAATAAATGCTCACAACTTTTCCACAGAACCCCCCTTTAAAAGACCCAAAATGTCCCTTTAAAAAAATAAACATGCAGTTAGTGTCCACCAGGAAAGAATTGAACTCTTTAACTCTACCAGTTAAGATCAGTTTGCAAACTGAGATTACAAGCATCTAGTGTCAGTTCTCTATTTATTTACTTCATTTTAAAAATCTTTTGTTATAATCCCGACACACAAAACCGTCAGAGCAGACATTTTGTTGTACCTTCCAGTGCTACAGACATCTCAGACAACGGTTCATCCTCCACCTTCAGAGCTATGAGACATACAGTTTGTGAAACTACATTTGTGAACACTGCCACATTTTAGCCCAGACCATGATACTTAAAGAAACTTAAACCTTTTCCCTTGTTTTGCCAATAAAACGGCAAGTTTTGACACAAATCAGGGCCACAATCAGTTGCATTCTTTCGCTCACCTTCTTCATCAGACACATCAAGAATCTCAGTCATGGTCTCTGGAACGTTGAGTTTGTGTTTCTCCGTCACCGTCTGACACACAGTCACAGTCATGGGAAAAAAATCCAACAAAACACAGAAAAAAGTTACATTAGATTAGGAAAATTAAAAAAGGAAATGCAAATGTCCAATCTGGAACTTGGAAGCTCACCGTGGTGGTGGTGATGACCTCTTCAGTGACGACTTTCAGTGTGTCCACCACCGAGATGTAGCCCAGCCGTTTGGCGATTGACAGAGCGGTGTTCCCATTCTAACAGAGAGAAAGACGTTATAATGCACTGTCGCTCGAAGCTTTACATGAGAGTAATGTTTCTTTTGCTTTGTCTTACCATTGTGGTAGTGTTAGGCTTGGCCCCGTTCTGCAGCAAAACACTGACTATGTGCGTATTTCCTTGTTGCGCTGCCTGATGCAGTGGAGTGTAACCATTCTGTAAATACCACAAAAGAGAGTTAAACCTTTTTCAGTCACTAATAAAACAGTAATTTTAGTTGTGTTTCTGAATCTGAACTGAGTTTTCATGGTTCAGATTTTAAAACTCATTACTACCTTGGTTTTAGCATTGACATTGGCCCCTTGTTGCAGCAGGAAGCTAACCATCTTGGCATTTCCATAGTGACACGCCACAATTAGAGGAGTGTATCCAAGCTGCAGTGTTCAGAAAGGGAGAGCAAGATTTCATTCCACGTAGTTGCAGTTGGCTTTGTTAAACATACTGACTGAACCTAGTCAGTACTACAGTAACTAACTTTAAAATGTAATGCTTCCATAAAGCCAGTAGGTGGCATGCATGCTGAGTCACAGTAAACTCAAAATGCCCACAGTGATGTAGTTCACACAGGTTCAGTTCTTCTTCATAAGCCTGTGTGCACTGAGTTGTTTAATGACTAGGATCTCCCGTGTGTTCTGGTTGGTGTGTATATGAATGCATAAACAAGTAACTGCAGTCATACTTTAGTTTGCTGGTCCAAGTTAGCATCATGCTTGGTCAAGACTTCTGCTGCGTTCACCCTGTCTTCTTGAGCTGTGAGATGTAAAGGAGTCAGTCCGCTCTGTAACACAGAACACCCTGTTCACTGTGCACTGCAGTAGCATAGATGCAAAGCATTAGCTGTTTTTTTGGTTCATGGAAACAAAAATATTCAACTGTTTTTTGTGTTTGACCTTGGTGGCTGAGTTGATGTGGGCTCCTTTGCGCAGCAGCAAGCTGACCATCTCAGCGTGTCCTTCCTGGGCTGCCAGGTGCAGGGGGCTGACCCCCTGCTTGGTCAGAACGTTGGTCTCAGCTCCGTACTGCAGCAGCGCTAAGGCAATGTTTGTCTGGTTCTTTTTTGCTGCAATGTGGAGAGGAGTGTAGCCGTTCTGGACAAGAAGGAATGACACCTGGTTAATGGCGTGGTGAATATCTGAGATCAACAGCAGTGCACGTTCACAAAATGCTTCACTGATTCATGCATTTTTCTTAAATCTTTAGTCTGACCTTAGCAGTGACATGAGGTGAAGCTCCTTTATCCAGCAGCAGCAGAGCCACCTCCTGATTGTCGTAATGAGCTGCTACATGTAGTGGAGTTAAGCCATTCTGTTAAAGTAAACATTCACATGAAATATATTTTCATCAAGCTTTTATTTTCATGTTTACTGCAAAACATCACTTCAGTCCTACTCTGCAATAAATTGATTTTTTTCTCAAGCTATAAAATGGAATTACTGCATCTCTCACAGATATTATTTTCCTAAAACGGACTCGGGCTTTGAGAATGTGCAGCTGTAGATCTTCAGCTCACCTTGCCAGCTTCATCAGGAACAGCTTTGCGTTGAAGGAGAAGTTTAGCTACATCAAGACTTCCGTATTTGGCTGCTACATGTAGAGGTGTGAATCCTTTCTGTGGACAAAAAAGGAAGCAAACTCTTTTTTTTTCATTGCCCAATTGTTTTGTTTTCATGTTTAGTTGCATCTCTGTCTGTAGGCGCAGCTATCCACCTTCTGCTTACCTTAGTGGCTCGTGAATGAGAGGCTCCAGCTTCAAGAAGAACTGCAGCAGTTTCTACTTGACCTTCTCTGGCTGAGATGTGAAGAGGAGTGTAGCCGTTGGTGGTGGCAGCATCTGGGTGGGCCATGTGCTGCAGCAGCAGCTGGACAATGTCAGTTTTACCCAAACGGGATGCAATGTGGAGGGGAGTCTGATCCTCCTGTGGTTGAGGAAAGAAAAAGTTTGTATTTTAAATAGAGAATATGGCAGTAAAAAAAAACACAAGTTTTTATAATTTTAGAGGCAGTGAGATTAGAAAATAAGAACTAAAACAGAGACCAGTGCATCTGCAAATCACTGAATGCAATGCTATTAGTCATCATTAACAAAAAGGTAGTGTTAAATGCTGATGATGCTGAAAGATGACTCACCCTGGCCACGGCATCCACCAACGCTCCATTTCTCAACAAACAACGAACCACTTCCATCTGACCTGCCCGAGCTGCCATGTGGAGAGCGGTCTCGCCACGCTGACGTGCAAACACACAACATTCGACAGCGGTAAGACACTGAGGTGCAGGAGAAAATGTGTGCACGGTTCCAAAAAACTGACCACTGAGCTGAAGTAAATACTACTCACAATGTTGCGAACATCTGGAGAGGCTCCGTTCTGTAGCAGGAGAAGAACGATGTTGAGGTGACCCATGAAAGCTGCTACGTGGATTGGAGTCAAACCAGACTAGAAGGAAAAAGATGGAAAGAGCAAAGGAAAGCAGCACTATGTGAAAGAGTGATGCAGTTTTACATATACTGTCCTCAGACAGTCAGGTAAAACACTTACCTCAGTGATTGCTTGGATGGAGGCACCGTATTTAATTAGCAGTTCCATCACCTTCACTCTGTTCTTCTTACAAGCGATGTGAAGAGGAGTAAATCCATTCTGATAGGAAGAGCGACAGAACGTCTGGTGTTTCAAAACCTTTAATAACACTTAAACTGGAGCTATGTAGTTGTTATAATTCCTACCAGTGCTCTGACGTTGGGATTAGCCTTTTTGTCCAGGAGGAGCTTGGTGACTCTGTAGTGGCCGCAGTGAGCTGCAACGTGCAGCGCTGTGAGGTAGTCGAGTGTGACATCATCAACAGGCGCCGTGTGTTGCAGCAGGAGTTTAACGCACTCGACGTGGTCTCCTTGAGCCGACATGTGCAATGGGGACAGTCCATTCTGCATAGTACAAAATACTATTTAGCTGCAGAACAAAATAAGAAATTAAAGTTTATTTATGCTGTGAAAAGTGCATCATGTAATACCTTTGTTCTAGCTAAAATAGGGGCTCCTCTTTCCAGAAGAATCTCCACTGCCGTGTCATGTCCACTCCTGGCTGCACAGTGCAGCGGCGTCAGACCATCCTGTGGGACAATACAAACATATATATGAACCCATGAGCACTGCATTAGAGTTGCAGTCAGGTCTAAAAATCTGGCCCGGCCAGGCCTGAAGCCATATCATTTTTTCAGAATCCAACCTGAAGCCGATGAATTAACTATAATTACAGGCCCGAAAAACAACAAATTTCTTTTAAATTACTGTAAGATTTTACTGCTTTTGTAAGCAAATCAGTTTGATTTTAAAAACACATTTCAAAGAAAGGAAGACATGACTTCTTCTTTCACCAAATGGATATTAACATACAAAACAAATAGCCTAAAAAATCAACTCCAAAGAATGGCTATTATACAGATGAACAAAAATATTTTTAAAGCAAAATTCTTTGGAAAAATATAGAACAAGGCTATTTTAAATGAACACGCTGCTTGCTTCTGCTTTTGTAGATGCTGCTACTTCCTTTGCCGCAGGTGACAGCAGGTGTGGAGATGCGTGGCCGGTGATCAGCTGATCCATCTGAGCTTAACCGGACTTTTTTTTTTACCTCTTTTAACCATCCAGTCGGACCTGCCTCCTCCTCTACAAGTAGATTAACACAATTTTATATTGTGCATTCTTATTTAGTGTTCTTTGTGCTGTATGATTTGTAAAACCGCATCATAGAAACCTCAGCTGACATGCACAATTATTGCGCAATGCTCCAGCGGCAGCACTACTCTCTCTTCACGGTGTGATTAACTGCTGCACTCTTCTTTCTGTCCTCATCCTCTCAACATATAAACTTACTGCCTCCTCCTCTACAAGTAGATTAACACAATTTTATCATGCATTATTATTTAGTTTTATTTGTGCTGTATGATTCGTAAAATCGCATCAAAGCCCGAGACAGGTCCAGCCTGCACATTAAGCACATTATTATTATGGCCCGGCCCGAATTTGGGCTCGGGTTAGAAATGACAGCTCTACACTTCACTGACTAGTGCACCCAGTCAGTTACCCCAAATTACCTGCTGAACGTTTTTTTTTTTAAACAAAAACTTTTGTCCAGATTTCAAATATAATTCTCACCCTTGTTTTAGCATCGATTTGAGCCCCTCGGTCCAACAGCAGAGCCACCATGTTGGTGTTGCCTCTCTTGGAGGCCACGTGAAGAGGCGTTATCCCATTCTGACAAGGCAAATAAATAAAGGAATGTTAAAACTTCCAAAGAAATACTGCATTCAAGTGATTTCGCAAAAATACAAATCATTTAACAGGTTTTGTGAGAAGACATTAATGTATCTCCTACAATATGTTTTGCATAATTTCTTTTTGTTGAGCATAAAGCTAAAAGATAACATCGCATTGCATTTAAAAGTGTTGGTTCCACTAAAAGACACTTCAGCTGAAAAGAAATGTAAGCCAAATTAAATAAAAAATGTTTTAAATGTTAGGGTGAAAACGTTGGTAAAAGTTTAGAATAAAGAGGAAAGTTAGAATGTTAAAGATCTTCATGTGTCAACGCACAGACATGTTTCAGCTTTTAATCAAACAATTTAGACAAAATGTCTCTATTTGCTCAGGAGTAGAAATGGAGCTCTACCCGGGCCGTGAAGTCAACAGCAGCTCCTCTGTTCAGCAACAGGGTGGAGACGTTCACGTTACCGTAGTGAGCAGCGATGTGTAGGGGCGTGAAACCACTCTGTTTTCGACAGACAAGCAAGAAAGTGTCAAAGGATCGAGTGAGACGACGACAAGAGAAGGAAAGAAAAAAGAAAGAAGGAAAAAAGAAAGAAAGCAAGAAAGAAATGTCTGTAGTAGACATAAGAAACGGACTGTTTAAGCGTGTGATGAGAAAGATGCATGCTGAGAAACAATAAACAGTGTAAGAAGCACTATAAAGGAGCATATCCCAAAATAGAAAATACAATGACTTACACGAGCAAAATCCTGTAAAACAGCCATGCTAGCTTTAAAAAAATTCACAACTTGTTGGGCTTTTAGTAACGTAAAAAATTTTGAAAAAGAGGACAATGAAAAGCAAAACAAGACAAAGCTACAACATGCTGGTTTGCATGTACGTTTTTCAGCTAGTGCTTAAATGAAGCATGTTTTATGTAAACTGCAAACATCTATATTACACAGTTATAGGACAATTAACTCCTTACCTTCCCATTCTGATAGACATGGTGCAATTTAATTAAAGAACATAGTTAACTTAAAAGTAAACAAAGTGTTTGAGAACAAAAAAAACTGTACAACATGCTAAGTACACATGCTGTAAGGTCGTTCAGAAATAAAGAATCATTGATTTAAATAATGAAATTAATCAGTGTTTACTTAAAAAAAACTGCAATACAAAGAATATACATTTACTGACAAAAATAGTTAAGCGCTGAGAAGGAATGGTTTGATTTGAACGTAACATGGTTTGCATGTAAACCAATGATGGGTATGTGAATAATTCAATTTGTAAGGAATGGGCACCAGCGAGGGTTTAAATGGTGACATCACAAGTGACGCAACAGTGTAACTAAATAGTTGGCTAGAGCATCCAACAGTCAGTGAGTGAAGGTCGACAGAAGCAGGGGATGCCTCATAGTCACATTGTGAGTTTGCTTGAGGCCCAGTGGCTGTATCATGCATGTGGTGCATGCAAATGTCATAGTTTTTCAAAGCAGGAACCATTGGGTACATGAAGGCACTCAAGGCTCCCACACTTGTCATAAAGGTTCTGACCACCCAAGACAAATCATACCAAAGGAGAATCACTGCAGTGCAGAATCCTGTGACATCTTTTCCTGTCATCTGCACACAAGCATTCAGCTCTTTACAACACCCAGTGTTGTCCTGCACCGTGTCTTGATGACTGTCACCAACCAAAATACGTGTTCACCATCCAGTAAATAAACATTACCATCTGACCAGAGATGGCTGCATTTGGAGTGGTGCTGTGAACAGGAGGCGTAGACTGATGACGAGTAGTGTTGTATCATGATCATTAATAAATTTTGTTTCTGCGTTACCATGATCGACCTTCAAGCATGCATATGACGATGCCGAGGGGGAGAGGATCAATTTGGCAATGTTGTGGACAGATACACTGGTGTTATTCCTGGAGTTATGGAATGGGGAGCTTAACTTCAGGTCACCTCTGGTAGTGATAGAGAGGATACAGTAAAATGTCAGTGACATCCTGCATCTGCATGTCTTCCAATTTCTGAGCAGAGCCCTGGTATGGTCTTTTTTACAAGACAAGACCCATCCACACAAGACATGTGTATCTATGGACTGCCTGCATCACGTAAAGGTAATCTGCGACTAACCAGTTTCCCACTCATTCCCCAATCTATCATGGTATCTGCTTGGTCACCACTTACAACAGATGTGGAACGATTTATCATGGGTCCATCAGTGTGCCTGAACTGCCAACGCTGAATTTCCACCACCATTTCTCGGTGCTTAATTTTCTTTTGTCAGTGAAGGTATTAAAAGCATTCATCCCTTCAAACATGAACATGGTCAAATAATTTACAATTCCACTGAATAAACTAACATTCTCAGTCTTCCACTACTGGCCATGCAACGAGTAGTACAGTGTTGAGAACTCCATGCATTCATGTTAACAGTACAAAACTCTGACATGCAGGATCTCCATAAATCACAAAAGCCCCATTAAAAGGGGGAAGTTCTGGATGAAACATCTGAAAGAGATGGTCATAACTGACAAAGCAGAATCAGATAAAGACGGGACAAGTCTGTATACCTCTGTGGTTCTATTGACCATCATCTGGTTAGGAAGCACAGAGAAAGAAAGGGAGGACGGGGTGTAGGATTGTTAAGACAAAATATTTCACATATGTGATGCAGGAAAGAATACAAAGGCAAGGAAGCACACAACAAGGCATTTTAATTGGACTTGGTGTAGTAGGTAGAAAAACACTAACAAATTAACTAAACTTGTATTTTTTAACAAAGAATAGTGCACTTTGTGCTGCCTTGTGGTCAGTTTTGTGTTAATAACTATATGACAGCAGCTTTTCTACTTCAGTCTGATTTTTCTCTTTATTTGTAGATTTAGACCTATCAGAACTTACAACTCCTTCAACCGTTTTGTTCTGTGTTCCTCACTCACCTTAGACTGGACATCAGCATTGTGGTCATTCTGGAGTAGGAGAGCAGCAGACTTGGTGTCGTCTTTACGGGCCGCTATGTGCAGGGCCGGCAGGCGAACCTTCCCCTTGGTGTCGTGCTCCAAAAGCAGGGAGACGACAGAGTTATGGCCCTGCTGGAGGGCAATGGCAAGAGGAGTGAAGCCGTCCTGAAGGAGCAGTAAAAAAAAAAAAGGTGAAATCAATTTGATTAAAGTTAATAATTTGTCAAATTTAACACAAATTCATACAATAACATACTTCTGTTGCAATGCTTTGGTTTCCATCGTTTTCCAACAGGTATCGGACCACCTCCAAATGATTTTCCTGGGCTGCCATGTAGAGTGGAGTGAACCCATTCTGAACAGACACAAGCATCCAGTTTGTAGATACAACTATTATACAATCTCATATCCTGAGCTGACTGTTCATGTCAAACAATATAATTAATTTTACTCATAGTTTTTAACAGATCTCACCTGGGACTGAGCGTTGATATTTGCCCCTCGGTTCACCAGGAGTCTGACTACTTCTTTTTGTCCAGCCAATGAGGCAATGTGGAGAGCGGTGTTCCCTTTCTGGGAAAAATAAAATAAAAATAAAAAAGTAGGATGAACGCAATTACAAAGTTAGTTTCCCAAGTGGATATAAATGATGAAAGAACTTTAAACTAATTGAAAGAAATGTAAATGCAAAAGGTATGAGAGATACTTAGTATCTCAAGTGTTTTATACAGTACACATCAGTATCATCAGTTTATTAGCTTCCATTTATTTGATTGCAGAGGCAACAAGTCCAGGAGATGACCAAACATCCCTCTTCTCCGAACCACTGTCCAGCTCCTCTTGGAGGCCACACCAAAGATAATACAGCAAATTCTGGGTATTCTCCCAGTAGGACATGTCTGGTAAAAGAACTGATAAAGATTCTCAGTCATCCAGGACATGAAAAATTAAAATAAATAATGTCTCCTGGGGCCCTGTGATGGACTTGCGACCCGTCCAGGGTGTACCCCGCCCCTCGCACAGTGACTGCTGGACATGGGCACCAGCGACCCCCGTGACCCAAAATGGAATAAACGGGTAAAGATAATGGATGGATGGAATGTCTCCTGGATGAGAAGTGAAACATCTTCAGTCACATAATACAGTAGAATTCCATTAGTTGGTTTTTTTTGTACTTTTTTTAAATGTTTGGTAAGGGGAGGCATCTAGGAGGCATACTAATCTGTTTCTTAAACCACCTCAGCTGTCTACTTGCACTGCAGAGGACCAGCAGCTGTACTCTGAGGTGCTCCTGAGTGAAGGAGTCCCTTACCCATTGATCCAGCTCCCACTCCATCCTACCATCACTTGGGACCAAGACACAAGTGACATCTTGGTAATCACAGAGTCGTAATAACGGTTAAAAAATATATATACATTGAGGACAGTTAACAAGGTTATGAGTAGAGGTCAAATAAGTAAAAGGTTTTCATGTATTCAGATGAATGAGGCAGTTATTATCAAGTCTTTTGAAACAGCAAACTACATCAATAATTACTACCTAAAAAAGTAATAAGAATCAGAGATGAGATGCCCCTAGTGAGTGCTAAATTGTCACATGAAATCATTAAAATTCAAATAATGAAGGATAAAAACTGCCAGCTTGTATTTAAGCGTATACTAAAGGACGAAATGGAAAAGCTGCTTGTAACAATTAATAGTAATAAACTTTGTGGAGTAGACAGTATGAATGAAAGGCTTCTTAAGATCTCAGCTAACTTTATAGATAAGCCTTTATATCATATTTTAATCCAGATATCCATAATCCAAATTTATGGGAAATTTCAAAAGTTTTTCCATTGTCTAAAAATCCCAAAGAACTACTGACAGGTCAAAATTGCTGGCCCATAAGCATCTTATCTGTCTTGAGTAAGATGTTGGCTGGAGTGATGTTTAAACAGATTCAACACTGTATTCAGTTCAGCATGCTTATGAAGACTGGTTGAGACAGACTGATAGAAAATGACTGGTAGTTTTTGTGTTTCTTGATTTAAGTTCAGCCTTTGATATTATTCATCATGAGCTTTTACTTATGAAGCTTATGGTTTAAAAAAATCAGCCATCGACTTCATGAGTAGTTACCTCAGTAAGTAACTGGAAACTATGTGTTATGTTTATGTTCAATGGTAACGGTTCAGACTTTGTGACCATTTCATGTGGAATTCCACAAGGCAGCTGTTTAGGCTCTCTGCTTTAAAGTATTTTTGTAAATGACAATCCAAATGAATTACATAAGGAATTCATAACTGTATATGCAGACGATACAACTATATGTGTATCTTCTGATAGTTTGGACTGAGTAAATAAGGTGCTACAACAAGAACTGTTGTCTGTTTCTGAGTGGGTGATGAACAGATTTAAACTGAAAGTGTCAAATGCAGTGTATGGTGTAGAGCTCTAAGTCTGTCAGACCAACTCAAATGCAGCATATTTCTTTAAATGGAAAATCAACAGAACAAGTTAAAGAGGCCAAACTGCTGCGAGTTATATTAGATCAAATACTATCATGGTCCACACATATGCATAATATTGTGACTAAAATTAGTAGAAACATCTCAGTAATATGGTGCAATGTTCATTTTATGTCTCCCAAAATAATAAAACCAGTCTTACAGTCTTTAGTCCTGTGTCACCTTGACTACTGTCCAGCTGTTTGGTGTGGTGCTTCAAAACAGATGTGGATGAACTGAAAATAATTCAAAATAAAGCTGCAAGATTATCACTTGGCTGTTATTTTAGAAGTAATGTTAACTTCATGCATCAAAGCCTGTCACGGATGAAGATCAATGATGAACTAGTCTGCAGCCAACTTTACTTTTCTTTTGACATAAAATGTGGATTTTACATCAACCTTTAGGCTTTTCCTCACAGTTATTACCCACCTCTAACATATGTGGTTTTAATACCAGACATACACACAAGTTCAAAGATGAACTTTGGTGTTTTGAACCACTTTGGCATGACTGTCTTAGAGGAGTTGACGGGGGAGAGGGTGGGCCCTGGAGGCCATTTGAGCACCAGCAAACTGTTTTTTTCCTCCCCACTATGGAGTATGCTGTTTGTGTGAATCAGTTTGTTTGGTGGCTCCTCAGAATGAAGAAGTCCTTTGGATGAAAGATGAAATGTCTCAGCAAAAACATAAATCATTCAGATGACTTGACTGATTGTTGGATAATGGAATAATATTAAACTGAATGAGTTTTTCAATCTATGAGTGAACTCTAGATAGTTTTTTTTTTTGCTCTCTATTTTGTTTTGACAATTTTGGGGAATTATTGTAGTCAACAACTTGTTCATGTGTCTCTTGGCTTTTTTTTGATTGTGAGATTTTGAGTTGTAATGATTGTAAATTTGTGTATTGTAATGCATGTGGGTGTGGACCCCAATAAAGAAAAACACCTAGATATCTGCACTCCTCTGTTTGAGGCAATGACTCACTCCCAAACTGGGGTTTGTGATTTATTTTTTAATTCCACAAAGAAACGAACGTTGAATTGGATATCAGTACCTCTAAAACAAGAATTTAAGTTTTAATGAATTTGCAATGTGACAACCAACATCGCCAAATAAAAAAAAGTTAGATTTTGTCACCTTGATATTATTCAGTGGTCTGCGGACCATGGTTTTAGAAGTACTGTCAAGTATTTTGACTTTCACCAACTTACTTCTTGGAATCATTCTCAATATGTGCTCAATAAACTATGTTTTTTATTTAAAAACTTGTGTCCCTGTATTACAGAGTCAGAGTTTCTTAATTTGTCATACACACCACATGCACATGTGGTGGAACAAAATTGTGTACACAGGGTCCCAGTTACAAGTATAATAATATATACAAGTTCCATATTACAAGTATAACATAGACATCGCTATAAAGTATAAAGCAGTAAACAAAATCTGAAGCAGTCAGTTGAGACCATAGATCAACTAGCAGCTCTACCTGCTCACCAACACCTGAACCAACAAAATTATTTTATTAGTTTATTAAGAAGGAAAGGAGTAACACTCCTTCAGATGGAGGAGTTATTATGTGCTCATCTTTTGCATATAAAGCTACAATTTAAATTAAAAATTAAAAAAACAACACAAGATACATGTAATTATCAATATATGATTTCTTAAAAGACCAACAATAACTTGCAGACAATAAGCACAAAATATTCCTTTTAACTTATCTTCTTTGATGTCTGAAGCACAAACTGTTTTTGTTGTCCTATTCAGGACATGAATGTCACTCAACGTTACAGGCAGCGTGGTGACAGGTTTCATGTTAGCTCCTTACTAGCTCATAGCAAGCAGCAGCACTACTCACTTACAGTCATTCTCCTCATTCCATTGGACTGCTGGGAGGATACCGATGTGTGTTGCAACTTTTGACCCACTTTACTACTTTTAAAGCTGATGGCTTAAAGTACCTGAAAGAGAGAAGATACGCCTCCCTTCCATTTGCTTCTGTTTTCTCCACGTCTTTTTTTCTTACAGAGCTAAATATCAAACTGTGTTATGTTCTTAACTGAATAATTAACATAAATATCAACAATTTGCATCGTTAACCTGTTATACCTTGGTGGATGAATCAACATGTGCTCCTCTCTGCAGCAGTTCCTCCACTAAATCTTTGTGCCCCTCCTTAGCTGCCAGGTGTAAGGCATTGAGACCATTCTGAGAAGAAAAAAACAAAATTATTACTTCTCATGAGACCAGAATTGATAAAGTTGTTCCTGTTCCTGTAGAGTATTAAACAAACTAAATGGAAAATACATAGACCATGGGAAATGTACATTCAGACATTATCAGATGCACTTTTTATGGCTTGCCACCACGAAAGGCAAAACTATTACTAAGTCTTTGTGCGATTTAGTTCACTGTGGCGACCCCTGAAGAAGGGAGCAGCCGAAAGAAGAAAAAAAAAGTTCAGTCATTCAGAACGCATGCTAAACTGACCGTGGACGTGTTTCAGACCCACAGTCACCATTCAGGAAGATGCTGTCAGATAACAAAAAATATAGTAGTTTCCCCTTCTAGAAAGTTGTGTGGGGGTTACACCAGGGCTCTCACTCATTAGAACTACAGGTGAGCAGCAACAATTAGGACAAATGATCATTTAAAACTCAAACATGCACATATTCACTACATAACCAAAGAAAAGAAAAAAGCACCTCATCTCCATTTCCTTCCATTTTGTATATCGTCCTTTTAAATCTGAGACGTTCAAACTTCGTATTAATCCTCTAGATGTCCTGTGTTCTTGAAAAAAGTCAGCAACATTTTTTGTCTCCACGGTCGGTCTTCTCTCATTTTCGGAGTAATCTTTTTTATCCTCTCTCTGTTCTTCCTTCTCAAATAGAGCTCCAAAACAAAATCAGGGTAATGTAGTTCCATTCATTTATTTTACGCCCACCGTCCCCCCCACACCCCCTCCACCCCATCAGGGACTTAGATTACAGGAAGGAACGGCACCTCCCAGCTCTGGAGGCTCTCCTGTCTCTGATGTATAAAACGAGCTGTTATGTTGATGACACCTACATCAGTCCCCGATTGCCCCCCACACATACCTAGCATGCACTTACAAACAGGCCAATAAAAAATAGACCCTCTCTTCTGACAGTCAACAGGGTGTAACATTTCTGCACCGTCATAGAGAACATGTAGGACACACAAACATAGATAGTCCTATAAATGTGTCAGCCCTTCAATAAGAAAATGTGGGCTTACTTTAAAGGTCAAAGTGTGTTAGTGAGTCTATAGAAATGAAACACATAAATGAAAAGACATCCTGAGACAAACTTTTCTTTATTAACTATATATAAAAAAATAAAATAAATGAAAAGTTCCCTTTTTGTTTAAGAAACAGATTGTAGACTACTTTGGTGCTGCCTGAAATAAAGTCTTGCACATCTTACAAGAACACACAAAGCTCATTTTTATTTTAAATATACAGGACTGTGATCAATACTTTGATCCATCGCTAAGTCATTTCGTTTTTTCCTTGTGGGCAGTCAGGCTTATGATCTTAAGCAGTCATGATCAATATTTTTTCAGAACAGTTTGCACTTTTGCTGCTTTTTCAACAACTTTCAGTCCAGTACCTGACCATTTGAAGAGGAATGTTATTTGTTAAGCTACTTAACTTTGACCTGGAAATCATTCAGTTCTATTAAAAATCTCTTTAACTCGAGGGTTCAACCAGAGTTATGTCAACACATAAGTTTGAATTGGATCTATATGAATTTTATTATCAGCAGCCTGTAACAAAGATGCATTTATTTCTATTTGTTTAATTGAATCTTAAAATAATAATAATAATAATAACAGTTTGACGCATCAAATAATATATTAGCACCAACAAGGGTATTCTCAAAGAGTTGTTTTTATCTCTATAAGCAAAAACTTTTGATATAACATTTAAGTAATGATCCACCTGCGTAATTTCACGATTAGTAAAATCTTGTCCAAAAATGATGCAGAAAAACTGGTTCATGCATTTGTCACATCTAGGCTGGACTATTGCAATTGTTTACTATCTGGGTGTCCGAAATTATTATTATTATTATTTTTTCTTCTTTCGGCTGCTCCCTGCGTTAGGGGTCGCCACAGCAAACTGTGTCGCACAAAGACTTGGCAGATATTTTTACACTGGGTGCTCTTCCTGACGCAACCACAGACCACCGAGCTACCACAGCCCTCTGTGTGGAGCAGAGAGCTGCATCTAGGACACTTGGAGGAGCAGATGGTGGGGGTTAGGGGCCTTGCTCAAGGGCCCAGAGTGGGGCGAATGAGGGTGGGGGCAGGCTCTTGGCTCTCAGACTGCAGGCTTACTTGCAGTTCCTAGAGTTTCCAAGAGCAGAATGGGAGGCAGAGATTTCAGTTATCAAGCTCCTCTCTTGTGGAACCAACTTCCAGTTTCTGTCCATGAGGCTGACACATTGTCCAATTTTAAGACTGGGTTTAAGACTTTCCTTTTGATAAATCCTATAGTTAGGGTCGGCTTGGGTTTCCTGAGCTATCCCTTAGTTATGCTGCTATAGGCTTAGACTGCTGGAGGACAAACTGACCACACTTTTTTCACTATGCTTTTCTTTACTTACTCTGCTCAACCTGTTTTGTATTTGTACTTATTTTTTCTACCCTTGACGTGTGTTTTTGTCTTTCAGATACACCTGCACCTACATCTGGACCTACCATTCTGTGTTCGTCTGTCTCCTTCCTGTTCCTCTCAAACCCAGCCGGTCAAATCAGATGGCCGCTTGTCCTGAGCCTGTTCTGCTGGAGGTTTCTTCCTTTTAAAAGGGAGTTTTTCCTTTCCACTATTATCATTGTGCTTGCTCAGGATGGGAGACTGCAACGAAGCCAAGATTCATCTTGTCTGCTGGATTCCTTAGATAGAGAACTTTACTAATTGGCTTTTATGTATGTGAATGTTTCTGTTCAGTACCCTGAGACAAATTTGTTGTGAACTGGTGCTATATAAATAAATTGAATTGAATTAAATGATCAACCAAAGGACGGTGATGCTTTGAGGTAAATGGTAAATGGACTGTACTTATATAGCACCTTTCTATCTTATCAAGATACTCAAAGCGCTTTACACTACAATCTGTGCCTCATTTACCCATTCATACATCACTCTACTAGATCTGTACAAAGAATAATCAGTGTTTTATCACATTCATACACCAATGGGACACACATTGGAGGTTCAGTGTCTTGCCCAGGGACACTTTGGCATGTGACTGCTGGTGGAATCAAACCCCCAACTCTTGCATTGGAGGACGACTGCTCTAACCACTCAGCCACAGCCGCCCATGTCCCCTGTCTGGTGTATGCTGTTTTCTAAAATACATGACTTCTCAAAACTGCTGAATTACTGAAAACACTTTTAAATTTCTTATTTTGTCTTTCACTTGTCCAATTTTTTAAAACTCACCCAACAGTTTTTGGCGAGTACAGGGACTAGACTAAAATGAGTGACCCACCCCCTTCTGATCTGAATACAGAAATACAAATTAGCTCATCCAGAGACTGTCTAATTGTATCCTGAACTAATCAATTGAAAGAACACTTCCTGTCCCATGAAGGTCTTCAGAGGCAGGTTTTGGTCGGAGGCCTAGTCCACTACAAGAGTATTACAGAGTATATGGGGAAGCACACTTGTAACACACTTGTAGTTCATTTTACTTGTTCTGTGTGTGTGTTAATCCGTCTTTGCCCATGTAATTCATGTTTTTGTATGCAGATGAACTCACCAATTAAATGACCAATAGTAAAGAATTCATTGATTCACAGTCTCCACCATCAGTCAGTATCTGATGGGTGAGGTCATCTCGAGCATAATGATGTTTATCTTCCTCTTTAGAGAGAGAATGGCCATTCCTGTGAGGCTCAACTACAAACGGTTTCAATGTCTTCACATCCTGGATAGTTTTACTATAATATCAAACTGAAACATCCAACTGTGAAATGTTTTCTGCTGACATAAGCATTTAGAGACAAGAAACTGTGAGCGTTTTGCATCAGCTGTAAAATGAGACTCTGACACAGCAAATAACGATGCAATCCTTTTAGAGTGTTTCAATCACATTTGAACCATTATGTATTTCAGGAGAGGCAGGCAAAACCCCCAACAGACACACATATGTAGACACTCAGTCACGCATACTGATGTAAAGCTTCTTTTCCTCTAAGCTGAGCTGGAAGTGAAAGCTTAATTTAGCTAATGGACGTTCAGCCTCAGCAGTACGTCGCTCCACCAGAGCAGGACATCTATTGAACTCGGTCCAACACAGATTATTATTTATCCTCCTTTTTGACTGCTGACCTTTGTTTCGATCGCACATAAGTAGTCATATCTGTTTGGTGTTGCGTTCAAGGTCCAAATGTGACATAGGGATGATCTAGAAGAGTAACTAGAGGAAATGCATATTAAAGAGTAATTTCACTCCCCTAGGATTAACATTGGGGTAGATTAGAGGGAAAGTCTGTCCTTTAATTGTGAGGACATGGAATAAAGCAGCTCACTTACAAATAAAGACACAGTTCATTCACTCACTTCCCCCCCCAACACATAGTACAGAAATAAAACATTACTGTAGCAGAACTAAGTTTTGATTATATTTTTCCCACAGCAAATAAAAAATGACCAAAGACACCTTGTTTAAAGTGACGTTACCCAAAAGAACAAATACTTTTATTTGTTTGTCTCATTTATAAACCTGCACACTACAGAAACACCACCATATGACTGTAGCTTTGGCAGCTTTAGCCGTTAATATACCGGTGTGCTGCTTCTCTTCAACATACTTGGAAGGTGAACTGTCTTTGGCACCAGACCCTGACTATTTAGTTGCTGCTTTCTAAGATCGGACTCTTCAGGTCACAACGATGACATTGGAGAGGCTCAAGAAGGGACAAATGAGACAAAAATGAATTGGCTAAAAGGTAAACCTACGTTAAATTTGTAGATTTTATCAGTTGATCTATGCACATTATGTATTGGTAGCTTAAATGAAAGGCCTACCATTCCTAGGCCAACTATTATACAGCAATACAGCAATCAATAGCAATGGCCCAGACAAGCTGACCTCTTATATTGTTTGGCCTTGACGTTAGATCTGGGATTATGAAAAGTGTAAGTGACAATCTGCCTAGAGATGAAGCTTAAG